CGCTGTTTGTGGAGGTCAAGGAAGCTTTAGGAGGCTCCTCACTGAGGGAGAGTTTTAAAGGTTTGTAGCCTTGCCTCACTTTCTGCGCTCTCTCCTCTCTCTCTCTCTCTCTCTCTCCTACTAGTATGTAGAAATGTGGTCAGCCATCTGCCTTTCCGCCAGGACTTTCCCACCATTGTGAACTATACTCGTCTGGAAACATAAACCCAAATAGATTCTTATGTTGCTTTTGATCATGGTGTTTTATCACACACAGAAAAAGCACCTAACACCCTAGGACTCTGGACCATTTTCTTTTCCTTTCTGTTTTCTCTCACTACTGTGGTTTTCTTTTCCTTCTCTGCAGCGACTTCTGACCTTCACATTTAACTCTCCCTGTCCGTCCAGGCTTGGCCCTCAGCTCTCGTCTATATCCATATTCTTTAGGTGGTAACTTCATCCCACCTGATGGTGTTAAATATCATCTGGGCACTGACAAGCCCCAAGAGCATACCACCAGCCAGGGCAGGCCTCTGCCCTCTAGGCTCATACTCATCTTCCTAGGCCAACCTCCTTTCAGTCTCAAAATGAACTCTGGGCTCATTTTCAGAATTTTATACCAAGGTTTTGTAGGACCAGCAGTGGTAACTTTGTCCTGTCCTATGCATAACCCTGAATTTGAAATCATTTTTTTCTTTCTCCGATTAACCCATTATCAAATCCTTGGGTTCAAAATACGACACTTTTCTTTTTGCAGAGATTGGTGCTGTCTGTCTGGCCCAAGCCACAATCATCTTGAACCTAGATTATTCTAACAGCCTAGCTGTGATGGCAGATTATTGTTGTAATAGTCACTGTGACAGATGTCCTTGCTTCTGCTCTGGTTCCCTATGGGTTTACTCTTACTGCAGTGAGAGTTTACCCTTGAAGATCTTAGGTCACATTGCTCTAAATGAAAGCCCTCATGGCGTCCCAGAGTAAAGGTCAAAGTCTTTACGATGGCCGACACCACAGTGGAGCTTCCCTCCTCACCTCACTCTCTGACCCTGTCACTGCTCTTCTTGTTGCTTTGCTGCAGACAGCCTTGCTTCCATATCCCCACAGAGCCTGCAAGCAAGTTCCCACCAGGGAGCCTTCACATCCTGCTATCCCTCTGCCGTGAATACTCACACCTCAGACCTCCAAACCTTGGTTTCCAAGATTTTTTCAGTTTCTTTTGAAATATAATTTTATTAGTCTTCCTCTGAATCCTTTATTCTAAGAAACAACCTTCTCCCCAAACCTGCCTAAGGCCCTTGTCTTACTGTATTTCTCTGCATAGCACGTCATGTCATCTCTAAGCACTTAGTATATTTTGTGACATTGGATTTCTTCCATTTCCCCTCACTAAATCTGTGAGCCTCATAGAACCTATAGTGTGTTGTGCTGAGGGCAGGTCCTCCACCCACAATATATACTGCATATCCCAGCACACTGTGAGAAGTCATAAGTAACTGTTCAATAATGGAGGGAAATAACTGAGTAGCAAGAGAGCAAAGCTAGTGAACTAGGGAACCGGAGATCTGTTTCAGTGGTAGAAGAGGCAGACTGGGATGGTTCAGTGAGTAGAGCAGGAGAAGGGAGGTAAAGAAGACAGAGCGGGCCTGGACCTCAAGCAGGTTTCTAACCCAAACCACAGCCATCATGGCCAATTGTTCACCAAAACAGAGAAGACGTGGGGGTGGAGAGCGATTTATTAGAGACAGAGGCAAAGCAGGATAAATTCAACTTTGTAGTTGGGATTAATGTCATTGGGCGATATTTAACTGAAGATGCTCTGGAGGCAGCTGGCTTTGGAGCTATTACTTTCAATTCATGACAAGCATTCATTTTCTGATAGGGACAGGGCAACTTTGTGGAAATGACACAGAGAGTGAATACGGAGCCCTGAGCCATTTTCTACAGGAATACTGTATCGTGTTAGTTCACTCCTCAGGTGGAATCAGGAGCTCACAGCCAGTCAGAAAACCTGGTTCTCCAAGCCTCCAAGGAGACGCATTGTCTGAAAACAGCCATTTTGCAGTCTGACTTGGGGGTGCTTGCTTGCCATTCAGAACCTACTATATTTTACCGCACCTCCTGACATTGTTACACAACATTTATTGAAAGCACATTTGATGGTAATGAAGTTTCTATTAACTATGATTAAATCTCATAAAGCACCTGAAGATAATTTAAGATGTGCAGAAGCAGAAAATGAAACATTCGGTTTAGTACATTAGGAAACGTAATTGATTAAATTATCTCATTTACAATAAGTGCTTTCGTGAGCTATGCAGTGCACATATTTTCCCCAGTTTGTCGTTATGATTTGCCAACACATATCTTAAGACTTCTCTTTCTTTTTGCATATCCCTGCAACTCAAAAGCCAGTTCCTCTGTCTGCCTGTTCTTGGAGAACTGTACAAAACTCCCTCTGAGTGATGCATTCTGCCCACTAGGGCTGGTGGAGGAGCACGTGTATGCCATATATAGGAACAGGTTGTTTCTCAATTATCTTCATAATTGACTTTGATTTTGCATCAGTGATGATTCATGTAGTCTTCAACCCAGCCCCACTTCCACTGAATGACTGGAGCCAGGATTTGTGCAACGCAGTTCTAATCCTGTGCAGCTTATAGAACCCTGACTGCATTCCTCCGGGAGCCTTCTGCAATCACATCGATTCTGCTACGGTTTTATTTTTAGGGAAATCACAAATTAAAACAGTTTAAGCAATTCTGGTGCAGTATGCAGCAATTAAGCATGGTGCGCAGGAGCGAGAACCCCAAGCAAAGGCCCATCCAAGAGTCCCTAAAGACGAGAAATAGCTTCGGTGGGGTTTGTGGCTGAAAGTACAGATGTAACCAAATTAGAATGGCACGGAACTCACAAACTGAGCATGAAATTAATTTCTAAAAACACACATATTCATTTCTAAGGAACCCTTATGTTGGCTGCCACATGGACAGCCGTGATCTTGTATTTATACCCAAACCAGAGAGGGCATGCAGACGAGACTAAGAGGAAGCTGCCAGTCTACTCGCCTCAGCTGTCGCCCTGAGAGTCATGACACAAGCACGAACTGCGTACCCAATGCCCGGTTCCTTCTTCCTTTAACATGTGCTCACGAGAACGTACAAGCACCACATGTCCTACCAGGTTCTTCCCACCTCCATCATCAGAAGCAGTCATGCAGGATATCAGAAGGTCCCTAGGTACCGATGATTCCTTTATGAGCAGCTGAGAGCAGCAAAGAAAGAAGCCGAGCTGTTTTTGTTGCACCAATTCCCAGACTACAAGTGGCCCCTCTGCATGCAGGCTGCTCACAGCAATGTAAGGAAGCACAAGCAAGATGGCCTTTCTGCGTTCGCTCTCAGGTATCATGATGCTCACTCCAAGGTTCCCGTTTCTGTCTATCCTCTCAGGACTTATTTTTTCCAAAGAAGTTACCTAATAAAAGCCTTTAATTCTCCCAAGCTCTTTGAATTTTAATGTTCTAGATTTAAATAATCACAAGTCATTCATCTTATGCTGAGATCAACTTGTCAGGGACAGAATTTTTTTTAAGTTTTACAAACCAAAGCATCTGGGTACCTGTCTAATTCTATTTAAAAAAATCTACTTTTTAAATTTTTATTTTATGTGTTAAGAGTGTTTTGTGTGCATGTATATAAGTGCACCATATGTGTGCAATGCCCATGGAGACCAGAGAGGGCACTGGATTCCCTGGAACTGGAGTTATGGATAGTTGTTAGCTGCCATGTGGGTGCTGGGAATTGAACCTAGGCCTCTGCAAGAGCAGCCAGTGCTCTTAACCACTGAGCCAGTTCTCGGGCCCTAAAGATAGCTGTTAGCTGCCATGTGGGTGCTGGGAATTGAACCTGGGCTTCTGCAAGAGCAGCCAGTGCTCTTAACCACTGAGCCAGTTCTCGGGCCCTAATTCTGCTATTGATGCCAGTTAGATTGCTCTTGCCTCGTAGCTTAGGATTTCTTACAATGCTTTACCTATTTCTACATCCACGCAATGACTTGAAGAACACATTGACATGTAGATCTGAGGATTATCCTCCACCAGACTTTTTAATACACTTATATTGCTGTAAGGTAGGACATATTTAACAGGCCTTGGCCACACCCCAAGATTCTGATACACGTGATCTCTCAGCAGTATTCTACAAAATGCTTTCCCTAACAAGATGGTTCTCACCCTGAGTGCACACTGGAATCACTTGGGGAGTTTTGAAAAATAGACATTTGGCATTTATAATCCCCGCCCACAGCTCTGGCTTCCTGGGTACAGCCTGGTATGTAATTTTCAAAAGACCACCAGGTGATTCTAAAATGTGGTCAAAGTTGAGTCAAACCATAGGTTCAAATGTCAAACTGCCAAGAATTTAAGCCATGCTCCATTCTGCAAATTCCCTAGATGCAAATATGGAAATGATACGAAGTCTCTTCAGGAAGGAGGCCTGCAGCTCGGGAGGTCAGGCCAGCACCAACCAGCACTGGCTAGGAACTGTGTCACTGGAATTCTGGCTCTGCTCCCTACCAGTTGCCATGGATGCCACCGCGGCAGGTGAGATTCTGGACTTGCATTCTCCAGAAATCTTCCTCTCATGCTTCCTCCTGGAGGGTTGTTAGGGCCAGGTATTTGCCCAAAAGGCTGCTTTCATGAAAGTGTGTACTGACAAATATTTATTAATTTTAATGCTATAACTCTCTTCAGAAATAAGAATCCTAGATGACATTTGCAGAGAAATGGACTTATAGGCAGAAAGAATCAAGAGGAGAGATTTACTTCTGCTTGGAGAGAGAGGAGGGGTGTGCATATTTCTTTTTGATTTAAACCTCTGATGTGCAACTCCAAACTGAATGAGGAGAGGCCCCGAAAGCCTGAATCTGTCATAGGGACTTGAGCTCTGCTCGGTTCCTAAACAAATACAACAGTAAGACAGCAAATATGAGAATAAATTATATTCACAAGAGGAAAAATAACTTACTTTGGGGTTTTATTTCATGAAGAGGTTTTTTATCTAAAAGAAAGAAAGAGAAAAAGAAAGTTGCATTTAATAAATTTACATGGAGCAGATATAGTTCCTGCATCGCTTTGTATCTGCCTCTATAAATGACACATTTTCTCCAATTTTGCAGGCAATATGAATTATGGTGGTCATGTTTTTCTTTTCCATTCTAATTTTTTTATTTGCCTATTTTGAAATATTTTTCTGATGATTATTTTATAAGAATTTATTCTCCCTCTGCTTTACTAGCCAGTTTCCTCCCTTGCCTTTGCTGGATTCTTATCTGCATGATGACTGTGGGGTGCTTGCTGCCTCATCCTTTTTATATACAGTGAGCAGTCTGCTCAGGCAAGAGATGCCATTTCACTATACCTGAAGATAGAAAAATGAACCAGGCAATAAATATTTAAAGGGATCCTGCATTCGTTGGCAGAAATCATGGCCTGAATAAAAACTTCCAAACTGCCTATTGTGCCATTGTGACGTTTGGGGTGTGGTGCTGAGAATACTGAATCTTTCTGTTTTTGTTTTTTTTTAATCTCCCCAATTTGTTTAAATATGAATAATCTCTCTCAATGGAAAAAGTGTTACATGAAGCAGGGAGAGGAAAAGGTGTTCTGCAGGACCCCAGGGTCAGGAGGAGGTATTTACACCAGCCCTCCATTGGCTCACCCCTACCATTTCCCACCAGCGAGGATCCTGAAGCTTATGATGACTTCTGAGCCTACAGCTTACTTTGTTTTATAGCAGAGTCCCCCTATTTCCCTTTCTTCCTGTTCCTAGTTCTATCTCAGACCAACACAATTCTGCCACACTGGAGAAACCAGGCACAAGCACCCTTCAGATGCCAGATTAAGACCCTACAACTTAGTACTTTGCTGGCTAGATGTTTTGGCATGGTGTTCCTCCCTCCCATAGTCCTCCCCTAGGCCTCTTTGGAATGCTGTCAGTCTGCAGAGGCCCAGGCTACTGATGATCACTCACAGAATCACACAGTGGTATGGGCCTTGAGAGGCCCCTTTCCCGGGTCGTGTTCTCACCCAGCGTGAGACTATCACTGTGGATTATGCGTTCAGCAGAATCAAACCCAGCATGCTACACATCTGAGAATTTCACACAGATTATCTGGCTGACTGCACGGTAACCCCTCCCAGGCGGACAGGCTGTTGTGTCCAGAATGTTCTCTTAACCAAACCCATTCCTGAATTTAATACTGAGCTTGACACAAAGTTCCTGCAATCTATAAAGTTGGTGTGTGTCAAATACGGGCTTTGAGTGTTGCGGTCTGATCTGCTATGAAAGCAGATTTTGAAAGTTATATGCAAAACTCTTGCAAGAGGAGCATTGTAAAACCCCTTTTTGATTTATGTGTCTGTATTTGTGTCTATGCGTGTTTGACCTGCATGTATGTAAATGCACCATTTGCATGCAGTGCTCTCAGAAGCCAGAAGACGGCTTCCGGTACTCTGGAACTGGATTTACAGACTGTTAGCTGCTATATGGGGTGCTGGGAACGAACAGGGCATCTGCAATGTGCTTAACTGCTGAACAGTTGCTCCAGTCCCCATTTTTCTTAGTAGTATAGGAAAAGATGGCCTTTAAAATGAACAATCCTTGGGAAGACATCATATTGTTTATGCTGACATGCTCAAATCAGATTGACAGTTGAGTCTCAGAATACTAGCACAGACTCGATCCCACATCTCCCGAGAGCAGGTAGCAGCCTCTGAAGGCCAGATGTTACTGCACTCGGGAATTAGACCGCAATGACTTTGGTGGATTTAGCCTAGCTTTGGTTTCGCTTACTGCATGGTATCTGAAAGCGTTTGGCATGGGCACTGCAAGGCTGGCAGGCCGGGCTAAGATGTCTGAAAGTGATGCATTACCACTGCCACATGAGGAGATGGGGGAGTGGGGAAAACATCTGTTTGGAACTCTGGCTGAGCTTAACAGTATTTTCTCTCTTCTGAAACATAGGAATGGGGATTAAACCAGGGAGCAAAATGCAATTCTGTTAAAAACAGGAGAGATATATAGCAGCTCCTCCAAAAAAGATAAGAGTGGCGGAATTCTGGGAATAGCTCTAAAAGAAGGGAGAAAAGGGCTAAAAAATCCAGGGTTAAGGTCCCAGGCAGATACCCGGGCCACGAGTGCACACAGCAGGGCTACTGTATTTCCTCTTCTGACCCAGCCCTGGGGCCAAGGTCACTGTGAAAATAATTCAGAATCAGAGTCAGAACTGAACTTAGTTTTGACGTCTGCATTCTGTCTGTGTGACCTCAAAATTCTCTACAGTAAAACAGGCATAGCGATGCCCTCTAAGTTTGGCATTGAGAACTAACCAGGATACACATAGCACAGGACTGGCATAGGTTTGATTCAAAAAATGCGATAAATATTGACTGATGAGGTATTTTCACTATATGATGATGACCATGACCTCCTTAATTCAAAATGTTTATTGGTGCTACTGCTTGGAGATGCATCAGAGCACTGGGTCAGAAATTCCACTAACCTTTGGGGCTACCTGAATAGCAGTTAAATTTGTGTCTCTGCTCCCATGAGACTAAAGTCGCAATACTTACATAAAAGTTAAGTTTCAGTTTTGTGAAATGAAAAAGAGAGGTAGGATTCAGAAACTCTCCAGGGGAGCCCATGCCTTCACCAACTGTTAACCAAAGACACGGGACTGGAAACCATTATGAATGCAATGTCGACATCCCTGAAAGGGCAGCTGCTCTGCAGTCCAGCGTGTCTTACATATCTGTGGCATCTTCTTGTAGACAAAGCTGGAAAGCCCTGGGGCTCAAAGACCTTAGACCCCTGGCATTAGCATCAACGCTGGGATCTGTTGTACTTTGGGAAATAAGAATACCTTGATAGGAAGCTACCAGTGCACAGCATTTTCCTCAGTAAGCACTGAATCTAAGATTGGTCCTCTGTGAGCACAGGGAAGGCCGCCTATCAACCTTTCCAAGTTCAAAGGCTTGGCTCACTCCACACAGGGGTCTTTTATTCTGTTTGCATAATCATTTTCTCACAAAGCTCGGGGCCATGCAACGACTTGGTTCTGGTCAACCAAATCTCCTCCACTTTAATGTCCCCCCGCTCCAAAGGCCATATTCAAATGGTACCTTACTAAATTAATCCATTAGGGATATGGTTCTTAATGTTGGCTGCACGTTAGAACTACCTAGGGAGCTTTTAAAATAAAGACCCATGCCTGGGCCCCATTCCAAGAGATCCTGATTAATTGGGGTTTGTGTTCTTGTGATTATTGCCACTTCCTGGCAAGAAATCCAGGCTTGTGCATGGTCAACTCCGGTTCGCCTCTGCCTCCCTAAGGGGCTGCAGTGTGGCTTTAGTATGTATACAGGCCCAGAAGGGTCCCTTTTGTATCTGGCAGGCACTAAAATGGTGTGATTTTGAGCCAGGAGCTGCTGAGCAGTAGTTTGGGGAAATCACAGAAGCTCTTCAAGGTCTGCTTCATGTATAGGGAGGCTAATGGATGGAAGGAAATTGATGATAAGTAATTATAACTCTACCTTATAATCGTTTTGTGTATTTTCAAGTTATAGTTTCAAAGATGTTTTTAATAGTGTCTTAAACTGTTGTATCTTTAAAAATCATTTTAACTGTTTATGCCGTTACTATGCAGCACAGACAAGCACAGGGGAGGGGGATCATTCAGCACAGAGAATAACCACTGTTAATGTTAAGTCCTCTAAGCACATCTAGCTTTATTCTGGTTTGTGTGTGTACAAGTCTAAATATACTTATATATACTTAGATATGCAGTACATGAAAATATAGAAAATTGTCAGTTAGCACTTTTACTTAAAAACCATAGACTTAGCTTTTATAGATTGTCCTGCTTTTGTCATTAATTACTGTAATGTAAATATTGCTTTGTGACTCCCCCTTCTCTGAGTGTATGTATGTGTGTGGTATGTGTGTGTGTGTATCTAAAGGTACATATCTGCAGGAGAGAGGGACAGAGAGGGAGAGCTCTTTTACTTCAGCTGATTCATTCTCATCCCCCAAACTCCCAGAGCATTTCCACAGGATCTGTTGTTCTTTGGAGCCATTTTTAACTACACCCCTAGCCACCCACCAGTACCCAGCCTCTACAGGAGAACAAACGTGGCTAGCTGCACGTAGCCTACATACTGTGGACTTGAGAGAGACCTGAGGAGACTGCTCACATGGACAGACGGGCTCCATCCCCACCCCAGCAGTGCTTCAAACGCTGTGGATTGTGACTCTAAGAATCCTGTGCCTATGGGCTTTGAACAGGGCACAGATTTATTGGCTACCAGTGTCTCTGAACCTGCTAAGATCCAGAGGGCCACTAACCTTATACACTGAATACCCAGGATTGTAGGTCTTTCCCAGATTGCAATTCAAATATGTCATCATAGTGAACTTTAACCTTCCTTTATTCCAGTTTATTTCTAAAGGCCACTTCTACCTCCTTCTTTGTATATCATAGTTTCTGAAGTTTTCCCACTTCCCAAATATGCATGCTAATTGCTCCATCATAATTTACTCTCCACATTCTTTGAACGCTTCTGTTGTTCATTTGACCAAGGTCTATGGGAAAATCCATCTTTTCTGCCCATTCTTGGGCTGTTTTCTTATTTGGTGCAACAATTTCAAGCCTCAGTAAGCAAGATCTAACTGAGCTCTGACACCGCCTCAGACCACAGCCAACTGCTCAGCTGCTTTCGTGGTCCCTCCACACCAACAGGACTTTGTTTCTGGAGAACCTCAACTAAACCCACGAACTTGTGGAATACATTTATTAACACTCCAGTTTCAGTATAAAGCTTTTATCCATGACATGGATTCTCCAGGGATGCCCCTTCTCACTCTAATCCTCCCAGACAAGACTTCTTCCTCAGCGGCACCCTGGTTGAGTACGAATTTCCACCACTCTCCGCTCTGGGCAGTTTGTTCCACTTGCAGTCAGGAAAATACAAGATAGATTCTTTTAAACAATTAATGAGTTT